GAATGTCATTGATACAATTTGGGAGCGAGGAAGGTGAAGGAGAAAAGAATCGGTGAACAAAAAGGCCCAGTGTAGGATAAATAATGTCTCAATGGAGTGAAAGGAATGGTGAAAGTAAGGAAGGTGAAAGGAGGGGGGGGGGCATGCACTGGGAACGGAAACAAGGAAACAAGAATAGCCAAGAAGGGAGGAGAGAGGAAACAAAGTGATGAGCAGTGAGGATGGGGGAAGAAGGGAAGAGGAAGAGAGGAGACAAGGAGATGAGAAGGAGATGACAAGAACAAATGAATAGATGAAAAGAGGAAGGAGGAGGGAGGAGGTTTGTTCTCATTATTGTTTTGTTGATATGATTTTTTTGTATGCAGCATTGAACTGAACTGATAAAGGAGGCTGAAAGAGACAAAAGAGAAAACACAGAGGGAGGGAGAGGAGAGATCAACCCACAGATTACTTTCACTCCTTCATCTCTTCTCAAACGTGATCTTTGAGAAGAGAGAAGGAAAGCAAATGGCGAACGGCGTGAGGAGGGAAGCCAGGGTGAGCAAGGAGACGAGGCGAGAGGAGACGACTTAAGGAGAGACGACGACAGGAGACGGGAAGGAAGCAGAGGACAGCTAAATGTGGGATGGACAGCTGCTCCTCTGCTCCTGTTAGGACTCAGCCAGCGCAGTGATAACACACACACACACACACGCACACATCTCCCACCGCGGGGGTGTGCACACTGTTCACCCTCAGCGCACACACACACACAAACATACCTCACTGCTCTGGGGCGGTGTGCAAACACGCTCACACACTCAGTGAGGTGAGGAAGATGTAAAGATGTGCATACATACAAACACACACACGCACACAGAGATTTGACTTTGCGTGGTGAAGAGGAGACAGATTCACACACACACACACACACACACACACACACACGCGCACGCACACACACACACACGCAGGTGAAACCACAGAGGCGACAGAGAGGAACCTGCAGCCCGTTGCGCTCTGTGCCGTCCAGAGAGGGATGACAGTGGGGAGGCATGATCTGCGTTCTGGGTCTGATGTGTAGCGAGCACCATCCACCCCACACACACACACACACACACACACACACCTTTGTCCTGCTCCATCCCGTCCTCTGTGCCAGGCCTACACTGCCTCCTGCTGGCTCACCACGACACAGCAACTACAGGCAGACGTAGAAAAGGGCTTATTTTGAAGAGGGGTTTTTTTTGCCTCTGCTGGTGCGATCATCCCCTGGTCGACATGCAGACTGGTGGTCGACATGCAGACTGGTGGTCGACATGCAGACTGGTGGTCGACATGCAGCCTGGTGGTCGACATGCAGCCTGGTGGTGGGCTGCAGCCTCAGGTGTGGGGGCTTTGATGAGAGGTGCTGTTACAACGTAGGATGCAGCATTTTCGCAGCGTGTCCAATACAGATTTATTCACCTCCAATGATGTTGCACCAAAATTTGAAAACTAATCTAAAGGAGAGCGCTGTGGTGACGGCGTGTTTAGGCCGACCACAGAATGTGAGGATATCTTCAGTTTTGAATTACACAGAAAATTTGTGGCAATTTGTGGCAAACAAATTGTAAAAGTCAGGATATTTTGACCACCACCACAATCCTTTTTTTATTTTAAGCTGTCTCTTGTGAGTCCTTCGGCAAAAAACCCTAATATTTATGTGTTTTTGTTTAAAACATAAGAATTACACTTCTGTTTAGCCTCGATGGGCATCGGGAGAACTGAGCACCAGTTTCCTAACTGTGAATCTTTGCTCTCTTTGCAGCAGCGTGTTCTCCGATCAGCCACACTGCACGCAGCCTGGAATCAGGACCTCCATCTGCAGAGCCCTGATGACAGATAGAGGGGAAATGGCCGTGTGTGTGTGTGTGTGTGTGTGTGTGTGTGTGTGTGTGTGTGTGTGTGTGTGTGTGTGTGTGTGTGTGTGTGTGTGTGTTAGACAGGCCAGAGAGCGGCTGGATGAGGAGAATAGGCTGTTACAGTTTGCAGTCCTGTGCTTTCAATTTCGATGTGATCTCTACCTTTTACCAGCGGGAGGCAAGATGGAAACACTCTCATGTGTGACTGGTGTGTGTCCTCTATCTGCAACCCACCACACACACACACACACACATTCTGTCAGTTTCACATGAACAGAACCAGCTCCCTCTCCCTCTCTGTCCGTGCATCATTAGGGGAAAGGTGCTGGCTTTTACTCCCCCATTCTTTTTTTTTTTAATAAAAAGACTGAAAGAGAGAGAGAAAGGGGGGGATGTTGCTATGGCAACAGTTTGTACAAATGTAATTGTGTCCCTTCACCTTCTGCAGGTCAACGCAGCGGCTCCGTAATCTCTCCATCTCCTCCTTACCTCGGCCACAGGTGTATTACAGCGTAATGGCTCTACTGAACAAACGTGCTGCCTGAGCACAGGCTGATTCCATGACCTCGACCTGTGTGTGTGTGTGTGTGTGTGTGTGTGTGTGTGTGTGTGTGTGTGTGTGTGTGTGTGTGTGTGTGTGTGTGTGCTCGGTCTACTTCCTAACTTTGAAGAATAAACAGGCCGCCATTAAAACTGAACAAATTCACGAACAGCTGAATAAACTTTGTAGTTATGTACAAATAAATTGTTCAAAGGTAGACAAATACGGATGAAGGGTAACCAGGGTCGTCTGACTCGAATAACTTCCCATGTTTTAGGATACAGTTGGCTTGTATGTTCATAGTTTGGGAACTATAACATTTATACATAACGTGACCTGCGTAGCGGCTTAAAACCTCGCTGGTCGAACGTGTGGAGGTCCAGCTGGACGTCGGGGGGCTCCACGTAGAAAAGGGCCCCCCGCTGCCGTTTGCCCGGCCTAAATGAAAGCATCTCAGCTTGTGGGTAACTGTCCCCCTTCCTCCGGGAGAACGGCCTCCGAGCGTCGGGTCGGACAAGGGGACAACGTGTACGTCTCCGTCCTCCTTACTGCACCACTGGTCACCAGTCCGCTGACAACGCAGCATTCTGTGTGACCACATGCAGGGAAAGAGCCGCGATAAGACCAATCCCTTCTGACCGCGAGATGATAAAACCGTAAATCTGCTGTGATCCGTCCAAAGACATCAGTATCCAGAGAGATAGCATCTCAGTCTGGGATCACACGGCTTCCCTACAGGCAACACAAAGGGCCCCGGGGACAGAAAGAGAATGGACATTTCTAATATTGTTTCATCAATCGAGCAGCGTGGGAGAGAGTGAAAGAGATGAAAAGCGTTTTAGTTCACAGCCTCTCTGAAGACGACAGACAGACAAAGATCCCGTTGGTACGTTCTTTATTTCTTCCCCATAAACTGCTTTTGATCCTCCAAACCAACATTTTTCTGTGTTTCGGGGGGGAGAGATAACGTGAGAGTTCTGTGGAGTCCTCGGGGGGGGCGTCTCCGGGGGGCTTCCATCCCAAACAGGGGTTTGCACCGTAAAGTCAAGCAGTGCGAGGAGCCAAAGGAATCCACGGTGACGGCGGGACGCGCCGCGCCGGGTGGAACTTGGAGGCTGTTGGTCTTAAATGAGACAGAATGTCCTCAAACAAGACAGATGTGGGGAAAAGGGACGTTAAAATGACTCACAAATCGACAAACAAGACACGAATCAGTAAAAGCAGAAAGCTCTTGTTCTCGGTTGAGAAGCTCCAACCTGCAGTTTATTCCTTCACCAGATAAATGATTATTGATCATATTAATAGTTGGTTATGTTTCATCTTGCCTGGTCTCAACAGTGAGCTTTGGGTTTTTATCCTCCACCATTAGTCCCTCTTCAGTGGCTGATGAAGACTGCGGACTAATCCCCCTACTTAACTATTAAAAAAGCCACAGACAATAAACGATACGATACACTTTTATGGGTGATGACAAAGAACGTTGAATCTTTGTTTAAGAAGTTTAAGGAACAGCTAATGGGGATTTGATATTTGGACTTAATAATTAAGAGCCAGTGTCATTGGGCTGTAGCCAATAATTGGTCTTAAATCTGCCATTACGGTTTAAAAGAAATACATTTTATTTTTTTATTTTTGAATTACTCAAGAATATATATATATTTTTGTACATTTTTTCCAACTTGAAACTCCCCCTGAAAAAACCCGCATAGTGGTATGATGAAAGTAAAAACCAGACAGACTATATGTTCCATTATCTGGTTGGCTCCTCCCCATTCAGGTGAGACAGGTGAACTGCTCCGATAGGCTGTTTGTAACCAGGTGAGCTAAAGGTGCTAAAGACAAGAAGAGAACCTGGAGTTCTCCCCTCTGAGGAGCACCACAGCAAAAAGTGTGTGAGAGAAAGACAGAAAGGATGTTGTTTGGCCCCCCGACAAGTTCTGACCCCCCCCCACTAGTTGGACCACGCGTCAAACTAACAAAATGATCTCGCAGCTGCTTCCTACAAGTGCTTGAAACATTTGATTATCCCCGTGGCCCCCGGCCGCCGCCGCCGCCAACACGCGCCCCCGGAGTTCTTGTGTGTCTTTGCTGACATCAGCGGCGAGGAGGGAGAGCACAAGCGTCCGTTTCCTCGTGGCCACGTAAAACAAAGGTCACTGAAGGTCACCGCACCTGAGAACGTCTCTGCAAGTGGCGCGTGGACCACTCATGGCGCATGAGTGGTCCACGCTGCTCAGGAGCATCTCGCAGCAGCGGCACCGTTAAAGCCGAAAAACTGAAGGGAACTGCTTTTTGTGGGTGGGTGTGGGTGCGGGGGGGGGGGTGGTGGGATTGGGGCCGGGTGGTGCCCCGGTTAGCGTCTCACTCTCCATCGCCACAAGGGCCCCGGTCAGCGGCAGCCGCA